CCACGACGACGAAGACGACTCTAGTAAGTGATGTAACACAAACTACTCCAAAGTATCATCCTCCCGTAAAAGTGGAGGAGCCCGCCGCCGCCGCCGCCGCAGCAGCAGCAGCCGCCGCCACAGCAGAAGAACAAACTTTACCACTATCAGTAATTCAAAAGAAACGAAAAATATTGCCTAGACAGTTATCATTTAATTCGACTCCTATTAGTAATTACGATTCACCGAGTGAAATGAAACAATCAATTATAGATGAAATTGATTCAGATTATGAAGACAACGTAGTAAACATAGACAAGGAATCTACTAGTCGATTTGAAGATATCGGACCAGTGTCTTTTATTGAATATTTGGATCAATAGGATCCATTACCACGGAAATATATTCGAGAAATGTACGAAGATACCGAAAATAGAGAGTTTGATCACAAGTATGGCGTTAGAATGGATAAAAGTACTGAAAAATTTTTTATTGGTAACTCACAAGTAGATATTCAAGGATCAGATATTTATGTTCAAGGTAAACGGTACAGAGGTACTCAAGTTTATACGAATTGTTATTTAAAAAGTATCCTAACAATAGTTTATTTAACGAACAAGACAGGGAAAATTATAAACAAATTGTATACAAAACGAACGCTCACAAAAGACATTATAAATCCAATGCTCAAATTGACGGAAGTAAGCTGAAAAAATATAAAAATATTATTGCACCAACAACAACAACTGGGGGAAAGGGTTTAATGACAACAATGGAAGTGACACCCAATAAAAAAGATTACATTTATTGGGACGATCCAAATGAATTAGTCGATCGATTGCGTCTACTCGTATCGTCACAGTCTGCAGGTCATACGGGTCACTTAAATGATATAAATTCGCTAATTGAAGAATTGCGCGAAGCCGATATTATAGAATGAAGCCGTCGAAATTTATTACGGATGCCAAGCGACAAGTTGTCGAGGAACTTCATAAACCTGCTCGTATAAACTTTAAACGTAGAAAAACTATAATTAAATCTTTATATGATCTGTTTCAAGCTGACCTTATCGAAATGATTCCGTACGCAAAACAGAATCGTGGATACAAATACATACTAATTGTAATAAATTGTTTTTCTAAATTTGTTTGGGCGCTACCTGTAAAAAATAAGTCGGGAGCGGAAGTGACCAGAGCTATGGAAACAATTTTAAAGTCCACCAAAAAACCAAAAAATTTACAAACTGACGCTGGAGCTGAATTTTTTAACAAAGACTTTCAAAATTTAATGAAAAAATATCATATCAATCATTATAATGTATTTAGCGAGAAAAAGGCCGCTATAGTGGAAAGAGTGAACCGTACCATAAAAAATATAATGTGGAAAGAGTTTAGTCTACGAGGAAACTATAAATGGATCGACATATTATCGGAAATTGTTAGAAACTACAATAATAACATCACAGCGTAATTAAAATGAAACCGGCCGATGTTATAAAAAAGCACGAAAAAAAGCTAATGGAAACGGTGTTTAATCGAATAAAAATGACAAATCTTAATACCAAATTTAAGATTGGCGATCGCGTACGAATATCGAAGAGGCGAGGTGTTTTCGATAAAAAATACCAACCAAATTGGTCAACGGAAATTTTTACGGTAAATAAAGTTCAACTAACCAATCCCACTACGTATTTATTAAAAGATGAAAATAATCACAATATTCTCGGTGGATTTTACAACGAACAATTGCAAAAAGTGAAGTTTCCAGACGTTTATCTAGTTGAAAAAATTCTCAAAAGGAAACGCGATAAAGTGTTTGTAAAGTGGTTGGGGTTTGATAACAAACACAATAGTTGGATAGATATAAATAATGTTGCGTAGGTGTGAGGAAGATTCAGTTGCAAATTAGTAGTGCTCGTAGAACATTTAAAAATGTTTATCCTCGACGTTCAAGGATTTCAGTATAAACAGAGCGATTATATCGTTAGAGAAATCGCAATTATAAACGTGTCCAGTGGAGAACTGTTTCATAGAATGGTGAAAACACCTTGTCCGTATAACTGGTTCACAGGTGAAATTAGAAATCATCTTTTGAAGGCCACGAATCGTGTCCACGGACTATCCTGGGATGAAAAAGAAGATGAGACCTGTCTACCTCAAGAAAGTATAGTTAGTTTTATTAGAAACATTGTACAAAATAACTATATCTATGTTAAAGGCAGTTGTAAGGTAAACTATTTAAAATCACTGCTTTATTACAATGATATTGATATTGTCGATTTACATGACATTGGATGTCCAAATTTTAAAAGTTTAAAAGAAAATAACCAGTATAATTTTCATTGTAATAATCACTTTTATAATTTCTCTAATTGTGCCAAAGAAAATGTACTATTGCTAAGAAATTGGTATATTAATAAAAATTATCTTAAAAAATGAACTTGTTGTTTTATTAACTTTAACCATAAGAACAATTAAAATGATTTTTATCATGTGATGGAAAAATTAAACAAGTTATAACTCGAATATTTTTTTATTATTTTTATTTACTAACTAACTAAAAACGATTAATTTCTAAACGTAAGGATATAAGAAAAAACTTGAAGAATTAAAACGTGGTGAAATGATGCAAGAGACAATGTTTAAGCCTATTACAAAACGATTGAAAAATATCGAGTCTTCTTTGCAAAATTCAACAAGAACAACAACGCCAGCCACCACGACGGCGAAGACGACTCTAGTAAGTGATGTAACACAAACTACTCCAAAGTATCATCCTCCCGTAAAAGTGGAGGAGCCCGCCGCCGCCACAGCAGAAGAACAAACTTTACCGCTATCAGTAATTCAAAAGAAACGAAAAATATTGCCTAGACAGTTATCATTTAATTCGACTCCTATTAGTAATTACGATTCACCGAGTGAAATGAAACAATCAATTATAGATGAAATTGATTCAGATTATGAAGACAACGTAGTAAACTTGTTGTTTTATTAACTTTAACCATAAGAACAATTAATATTATTTTTATCATGTGATGGAAAAATTAAACAAGTTATAACTCGAATATTTTTTAATATTTTTATTTACTAACAACACTAAATTTTTGACTTTCAAACTCTTCCGCGTCGTCGTCTAAAACGAAGCAAAAATCTTCAACTTTGCTGGTACTGGGAGTGGTGGTAGTCGTCGTCATCGTCGTAGTGGTGGCTGATTTTAAAATTCTGTTTTCCAGAATTTTTATTTTCTCTTCTTCCGAAGCCGGCTTGAATTTTTTAGCCGGTACGGGTTCGTCCTCCTCTATGGCAGCCGCATAAAAATTGACGTCCGAGAATTTACGCATCCCCTTCAATAACAATTGTAATTCTTCCTCGTCATCGGCCGCCACTCTCAGGTATCGGACGGGAAGATTTTTTAATTTTCCCTGAACCGTTTCATTCTTCGGTGAATATTTCAAATACAAGTGAACTCTCTTGTTCACAATCTTCACCTCTTTCCTCCCATACCTATGATAATTTGATAGATTTTTAGTAAATTATGGAAAACAAAACAATGAAGGTGACAGACTTACCTGAATAAATTTTTTAAAAATACCGCCAGCATCTTGTTGGAAAGTCTGGCGGGATCCGTTGACTCAAAAATTAATGTTGACGGAGTGTCCATAGTCGTTGTGTACAATGATTCCTTGTCGTAGAGTTCGATATATTTATATGCATTTATTTTTTTAAATTATTATCTATCCTAAAATTCCCACTTCGTCAGCACGATAATAACACAGTGCATTCATAATATTAAAAGCGATTACGTTATATTTATCAATTGCGCAAAACATAATAGTTTTGACCCTAACCCCGCTATCCGATAAAAGCGGTAAAATTCTACAAAGTGATATTATTTATCACATACGCGTCTATTAGAATAGACAAAAAAGTCTGCTGCGTATAAGTAAAAATGTCTGAAATCAGTGAGTTGAGTGAAAAAACGCTGCTGAAAATTAAAGAAGTTGGTGAGTTAATTAAAACAAAACATGAATATTGCAAGTGGATAAAATTTCTGAACAGAAACAATTTAATTTTGAAAAAATATTTAAAAAGTGTATCGTCATCGTCGACAGACAGAAAAGCGGTGGCAAAAATAGAATCAAATTTAAGTCTTTTAAAAAATTTCAAAGAACAATTCAAACATCATAAAACAGTTAAAAAAAATAATGCAAAATTAATTTGGGTTGATAACGAGTCTTGCTTTAAAAATCGTATTAAAACGGGAGCAATAGTTAATTTAGATATTAAAGATCCTATAATATTTTTTAGCAAGGCGTTTAGATCATTCTCTTGTCAAATAAAAAAAGCCCTTCGGGAGTCCCTAATTAAAGTTAACGTAATATTTCTTGCAGATTTTGTAAAACCACAAACGGGCGAAACCGATGTAAAACATTTTTCCACCAAAAATCGCGTCATCGATCATAATACCGATTTGAAAGAATTTTATAGTAATTATATTAAAAATAATATATTAACAAAATTAGAGGATTTTCAAGAGAGGGATTCTGGTTGGGCTCTTCACCGGATTCTACAATTAAAAGTTAACATTAATAATTATACACCGATAAATATCGGTCTTTCAACTTATGTATCGATGCCAAAATTTATTATTAATAAAAAAGCTGTTCTTAATATTCAAAATAACGATGAATATTGTTTTCTTTGGTCTATCGTTGCCGCGCTACATCCTTGTCGTACAAATCAAAATCCGCGTATTACCTATTCATATCCTCATTTCAGTGAAGTTTTAAAATACGATGGCATTGAATTTCCAATCAAATTAAAAGACATAAAAAAGTTTGAAGAAATGAATAATATTTCCATAAACGTTTTCTCATTAGAAAAGCGGGAAATTGTACCTGCGTGTTTAAGTCAATTCTCTTATTTAAGAACGGTTAATTTATTGATGCTTCCCACCGATATAACCAATGATTACGACGACGACGACGACGACGACGACGACGACGACAACAATAATCTCTCTAATCACATTAACAATTTTGAGACAGTTTTTCATTTCGCATTAATTAGAAGTTTATCACGGTTATTATCGAAACAAAGCGGAGATTCGACTCATAGCAGATTTTATTGCTATCGGTGCTTAAATCATTTTTATTCACAACAAACTTTAAATAAACACATATTTAGTTGCAGAAAATTAAATAAAACCAAAATTACGCTCCCGACTGAACAAGAGAAACACGTAACATTTTCGCATTTTAAAAATAAAGAAAAAGTACCGTTTGTTATTTACGCGGATATCGAGTGTATTTTACAAAAATACGAAGATTCCGCTGCGACGGGAAACATTAAAAAATATCAAAAACATATTCCTTGTAGTATTTCTTATTATCTGTTGTGCAGTTACGATAATAATCTTTCCAAATTTAACTTGTATACGGGTAAAGATTGTATGAGCTGGTTTTGTCGACAATTACAAGAACTGGCCCTACAATTAAATCCTATATTTAACAATGCTGTTTCAATGACACCTTTGACTGAACATGAAAAAGAATCATTTTATACATCAACCACATGTCACATTTGTTCAAAACCATTTACCGAAAATGATTTAAGAGTAAAAGATCATTGTCATTTCACGGGAAAATATCGAGGAGTTGCTCATTCTTCTTGCAATCTTAATTACAAGGACGATCATATGATACCCGTGGTATTTCATAACTTAGGATACGATCTACACTTTTTTATTAAAAACTTGGCAACTGAAATTCCCGGTTCGGTAATATTACTACCTCGTAACAAAGAAAAATATATATCGTTTACAAAATATATCGAAAACACGAGCGTTAATTTTCGATTTTTAGATTCGTTCAGATTTATGGCTAGTAGTTTGGATAAGTTAAGTTCTTATTTAGACCCTAGCGAAAAAAACATTACTAGAAGCTTTTGCGAAAATCTCGAAGAATTTCAGTTGTTACAGAAAAAGGGAGTCTTTCCGTATGAATATCTAGATGATTGGGAAAAATTGAACGACGTCGAATTGCCCCCGATTGAAAATTTCTATAGTAAACTTAGAAAATCCGGTATTACGAAAAAAGATTACGAGCATGCCAAAAATATTTGGACAACATTCAAAATTCAAAATTTACGCGAATATATGGAATTGTATTTGAAAACAGACGTACTATTATTGACGGACGTTTTCGAAAATTTCAGAAATGTATGTCAAAAAACGTATGGCTTGGAATGTTTGAAATATTACACGGCACCGGGTCTGGCATACGATGCATGTCTTCTCATTTCAAATGTTCAACTAGAATTAATTACGGACATCGATCAATTAATGATGATCGAAAAAGGAATACGCGGTGGAATTTCACAATGCAGTAACCGATACGGTAAGGCTAACAATAAATACATGGAAAACGATTATAATCCAGACATTCCTTCATCATATTTAATGTATTTCGATGTAAATAACCTATATGGAACGGCAATGAGACTACCACTACCGACGGGTGGGTTCCAATGGATCGATAATAACGCATTTTATTCTATCATAAACACGTCGGACGATTCTGACGTTGGGTATCTTCTTGAAGTAGATATAGAATATCCTACAATACTTCACGATATCCACAAAGATCTACCTCAGCAGCAGCAACAACTCAACAATTTTAAATAAGACATTATTAAAAGGTAAGAACCTATTTGTTTTCTGTAGTCATAATTTAATACAATTTTTTTCACAGCATTCTAACGTCGAGTCACTGAAAATTTGCGTTAAAGTGTTTAGTCAAGTACGAAGCAGCAGCAGCCATGAATAGTGATCGTTACGTAACAACAACAACCGAAAAAAAAGTGAAACAAGATGTTTCGGAAAACTCCAAAGTCTACTACTATAACGGTACCAAGTACTGTAATAGCTGTAACAAATCTTTTTGCTTTTGTGAAGAATCCATTAAAAATCATCCAATATGTAATATAAAATATTGTTCGCAATCAACAAGTCGTTCGAACAATATAAGTTTATATTGCGACGAAGTTATTCCATCATCGTCGTCGTCGTCGTCGTCACCACCAGCGGCCAAAAAAACAAGGATTTAGAACATACCCTATAGAAGAAGAAGAAGAAGAAGAAATACGTTGTGGTGTTTAGCAAATTTATATCGGATGTCAATACTTTGTAAATGTTTTCAATAAATCATCAATTTTATCGGTGCACATTTATTTAATTGTATTCACCTCGACAACCTTTTTAGATATTATTTTGTTTTCTATTCAAACTTATCAATGTAAATGATTTCAATAAATCATCAATTTTATCGGTGCACATTTATTTAATTGTATTCACCTCGACAACCTTTTTAGATATTATTTTGTTTTCTATTCAAACTTATCAATGTAAATGTTTTAAATAAATCATCAATTTTATGAGTGCACACTTATTTAATTATATCGACCAGCGCGCATACACGACGACGACGCGATAACGTGCCGGCCCAGTTACGCTAGGGGAACAGCGCGCGCGTCGGCGGCGGCGTTTATCTCCGAAGGTTCGAGGTTCGAATCCCGCCCGCGCGAGACATCGGCGGCGGCGGTCGCTTTTTTCGGCTCTCAAAAATTTTTAACCCCCGCACCAGCACACCCCCCGTAGTGCCGAAAAGGCACTACGAAATTTATTTTTTCTACGAACCCCTTTTTTTACCGGGGTACAATTGCCAAAAAGGCACTAGCGACTATGACGTCATAAAATGTTTTTTAATCAGTGACACCACTTTTTCCCCAAGGGGAGGCGCCAAAAAGGCACTATGACGTCACACCTCGACACAGGTGTAATTACCTTACCCACCCCCAGGGGTCCCCGTACACGTGTGTACACCCCCTAATGGTGACAGTTTCCACTTCTTCGGCGTGACCTTTACTTCTTTTACATGACCCCCCTTACGAAGAACTGGCTTTGGTACACTGCTGATGGAAAATGCCATCGGTGACCTTGAATCGTCACAGTCCCGCGCTAGAATAACTACTTGTCGGTTAAGGCGTCTGACTAGAAATCAGATTATAAATGGCAGCGTAGGTTCGAAACCTACCTACTGCAAACGGCCATCGTTTTTCTTGAAATATGTATTTTTTAATTAACAGCTCAGCCCAGAAATTTTTATAAAATATGAGGATTAAACACATAAATTTATAAAAATAAATTGGGCTTATATTTCAACGCATGGCACATCACCAGGAATAGTTCGACTTTCAAACAGATTTAGCCTTGGTGTGTCGGTTAAGGCGTCTGACTAGAAATCAGATTCTCCGTGGCAGCGTAGGTTCGAAACCTACCTGCTGCAAACGACCATTGTTTTGCTTGAAATATATATTTTTTAATTAACAGCTCAGCCCAGAAATTTTTCTTAAATATGGGGCTTGGGTACGTAAATTTATAAAAATATAATGGACTTATATTTTAACGCATGGCACATTACCAGAAATAGTTCGACTTTCAAACAGATTTAGCCTTGGCCTGTTGGTTAAGGCGTCTGACTAGAAATCAGATTCTCCGTGGCAGCGTAGGTTCGAAACCTACCTACTGCAAACGACCATTTGTTTTGCTTGAAATATAATTTTTGTAATTAGCAGCTCAGTCCAGAAAATTTAGTCAATTATGGGGATTGAGTGCATACATTTAAAACAAGATAATGCCCTTATATTTCAAATAGCGCATCACCAGAAATAGTTCTACTTTCCAACAGATTTAGCCCTGGTCTGTCGTTCAATGCGTCTGACTATAAATCAGATTCTCTATGGCATCGTAGTTTCGAAACCTACCTACCGCAAACGGAAATTGTTTGCCTTGAAATATATATTTTTTAATTAACAGCTCAGTCCAGAAGATTTTGTCAATTATGGGGACTGAGTGCATACATTTAAAACAATATAATGCCCTTTTATTTCAAATGGCACATCTCCATAAATAGTTCTACTTTCAAACAGATTTAGCCCTGGTCTGTCGGTTAAGGCGTCTGACTAGAAATCAGATTATAAATGGCAGCGTAGGTTCGAAACCTACCTACTGCAAACGGCCATTGTTTTTCTTGAAATATGTATTTTTTAATTAACAGCTCAGCCCAGAAATTTTTATAAAATATGAGGATTAAACACATAAATTTATAAAAATAAATTGGGCTTATATTTCAACGCATGGCACATCACCAGGAATAGTTCGACTTTCAAACAGATTTAGCCTTGGTGTGTCGGTTAAGGCTTCTGACTAGAAATCAGATTCTCCGTGGCAGCGTAGGTTCGAAACCTACCTGCTGCAAACGGCCATTGTTTTGCTTGAAATATATATTTTTTAATTAACAGCTCAGACCAGAAATTTTTCTCAAATATGGGGATTGAGTACATAAATTTATAAAAATATAATTGACTTATATTTTAACGCATGGCACATTACCAGAAATAATTCGATTTTCAAACAGATTTAGCCTTGGTCTGTCGGTTAAGGCGTCTGACTTGAAATCAGATTCTCCATGGCAAGGTAGGTTCAAAACCTACCTACTGCAAACGGCCATTGTTTTGCTTGAAATATATATTTTTTAATTAACAGCTCAGCCCAGAAATTTTTATAAAATATGAGGATTAAACACATAAATTTATAAAAATAAATTAGGCTTATATTTCAACGCATGGCACATCACCAGAAATAGTTCGACTTTCAAACAGATTTAGCCTTGGTGTGTCGGTTAAGGCGTCTGACTAGAAATCAGATTCTCCGTGGCAGCGTAGGTTCGAAACCTACCTGCTGCAAACGACCATTGTTTTGCTTGAAATATATATTTTTTAATTAACAGCTCAGCCCAGAAATTTTTCTTAAATATGGGGCTTGGGTACGTAAATTTATAAAAATATAATGGACTTATATTTTAACGCATGGCACATTACCAGAAATAGTTCGATTTTCAAACAGATTTAGCCTTGGCCTGTTGGTTAAGGCGTCTGACTAGAAATCAGATTCTCCGTGGCAGCGTAGGTTCGAAACCTACCTACTGCAAACGACCATTTGTTTTGCTTGAAATATATTTTTTGTAATTAGCAGCTCAGTCCAGAAAATTTAGTCAATTATGGGGATTGAGTGCATACATTTAAAACAAGATAATGCCCTTATATTTCAAATAGCACATCACCAGAAATAGTTCTACTTTCTAACAGATTTAGCCCTGGTCTGTCGTTCAATGCGTCTGACTATAAATCAGATTCTCTATGGCATCGTAGTTTCGAAACCTACCTACCGCAAACGGAAATTGTTTGGCTTGAAATATATATTTTTTAATTAACAGCTCAGTCCAGAAGATTTTGTCAATTATGGGGACTGAGTGCATACATTTAAAACAATATAATGCCCTTTTATTTCAAATGGCACATCTCCATAAATAGTTCTACTTTCAAACAGATTTAGCCCTGGTCTGTCGGTTAAGGCGGTTAAGGAATAGTTCGACTTTCAAACAGATTTAGCCTTGGTGTGTCGGTTAAGGCGTCTGACTAGAAATCAGATTCCCTATGGCAGCGTAGGTTCGAAACCTACCTACTGCGAACGGCCATTGTTTTGCTTGAAATATATATTTTTTAATTAACAGCTCAGCCCAGAAATTTTTCTCAAATATGTAGATTCAATACATAAATTTATAAAAATATAATGGCCTTATAGTTCAACGCATGGCACATCACCAGAAATAGTTCGACTTTCAAACAGATTTAGCCTTGGTCTGTCGGTTAAGGTTTCTGACTAGAAATCAGATTCTCCGTGGCAGCGTAGGTTCGAAACCTACCTTCTGCAAACGGCCATTGTTTTGCTTGAAATATATATTTTTTAATTAACAGCTCAGACCAGAAATTTTTCTCAAATATGGGGATTGAGTACATAAATTTATAAAAATATAATTGACTTATATTTTAACGCATGGCACATTACCAGAAATAATTCGATTTTCAAACAGATTTAGCCTTGGTCTGTCGGCTAAGGCGTCTGACTTGAAATCAGATTCTCCATGGCAAGGTAGGTTCGAAACCTACCTACTGCAAACGGCCATTGTTTTGCTTGAAATATATATTTTTTAATTAACAGCTCAGCCCAGAAATTTTTCTCAAATATAAGGATTGAGTACATAAATTTATAAAAATATAATGGACTTATAGTTCAACGCATGGCACATCACCAGAAATAGTTCGACTTTCAAACAGATTTAGCCTTGGTCTGTCGGTTAAGGCGTCTGACTAGAAATCAGATTCTCTATGGCAGCGTGGGTTCGGAACCTACCTACTGCAAACGGCCATTGTTTTGCTTGAAATATATATTTTTTAATTAACAGCTCAGCCCAGAAATTTTTATATAATATGAGGATTAAACACATAAATTTATAAAAATAAATTAGGCTTATATTTCAACGCATGGCACATCACCAGAAATAGTTCGACTTTCAAACAGATTTAGCCTTGGTGTGTCGGTTAAGGCGTCTGACTAGAAATCAGATTCCCTATGGCAGCGTAGGTTCGAAACCTACATACTGCAAACGGCCATTCTTTTGCTTGAAATATATATTTTTTAATTAACAGCTCAGCCCAGAAATTTTTCTCAAATATGTGGATTCAATACATAAATTTATAAAAATATAATGGCCTTATAGTTCATCGCATGGCACATCACCAGAAATAGTTCGACTTTCAAACAGATTTAGCCTTGGTCTGTCGGTTAAGGCTTCTGACTAGAAATCAGATTCTCC